AGCAAGACTGTGTTTCATAAATAAATAAAACAAAGAAATAAAAATTAAAGTAAAAAATAAAATTAAAAAAAAATGTTTCGTAGAATTGGCATTGAGGCCATTTAGGTCCTTAGCTTTTCTTTGATGGGAGACTTTTTGTTACTGATTCAGTCTCCTTACTAGTCGGGTCAGATTTTCTGTTTCTTCGTTATTCAGTCTTGGTAGGTTGTGTATTACTAGGAATTTGTCCATTTCTTTATCCAATTTATTGTCATGTAATTTTTCAGAGTAGTCTTTTATTATTTCAGTGGCATCAGTGTCTCCTCTTTCATTTCTTTCTTTTTTCTTAACCAATCTAGGTAAAGACTTGTCAATTCTGTTAATCTTTTAAAAAAACCCAACTCTTAGTTTTATTGTTTTTTCAATTGTTTTTCTGTTCCCTATTTTATTTCTGTACAAATCTTTATTGTTGTTTTCCTTCTGCTAACTTTGAGTTTACTTTGTTGTTTTTCTAGTTCCATGAAGTGTAGAATTGGATTACTTGAGAGCTTGCTTTTTTAATGTTGGCATTTACCACTATAAACTTTCCTCTTTGTACTGCTTTTGGGGTCTCTCTTACTTTTGGTATGTAGTGGGGTTTTTTTTTCCCCCACTGGTCTCAAGATAGTTTTATAACTTTTGATTTCTTTTTTGACTCATTCATTTGTTGTTCAAAAGCATGTTAATTTTTTTTTTTTTTCCTGGAGGCAGAGTCTCACTCTGTCGCCAGGCACTAGGCTGGAGTGCAGTGGCACAATCTCGGCTCACTGCAACCTCCGCCTCCCGGGTTCAAGCAATTCTCCTGCCTCAGCCTCCTGAGTAGCTGGGATTACAGGCACGCGCCACCATGCCCAGCTAATTTTTGTATTTTTGGTAGAGACGGGGTTTCACCATGTTGGCCAGGATGGTCTTGATCTCTTGACCTCGTGATCCGCTCGCCTCGGCCTCCCAAAGTGCTGGGATTACAGGCTTGAGCCACCGCGCCCGGCCCTAAAAGCATGTTAATTTTCATATTTTTGTAAATTTTCTGGTTTTCTTTCTGATGTTGAATTTTAGTTTTATTCTGTTGTGGTTGCAAACAATACCTGGTATTAATTTTAATCTTACATTTACTAAGACTTACTTTGTTACCTAACACATGGTCTGTCCTAGAGAATGTTCCATGTGCAGTTGTGAAGAATATGTATTTTGTTGCTGTTGGGTAAGATGTTCTATTCATGTCTGTTAGATCCCTCTGGTCTCTAGTATTTAAGTTCTGTTTTCTTATTGATCTTCCCTTTGGTTGTTTCATTTGTTACTGAAGGTGAGGTATTCTACTTTCCTACTATTCTTATATTGCTGTTTATTTCTCTCTTCACTGTGATCAGTATTTGCTTGCTATATTTGGATGCTCTGATGTTGGTTACATATGTTGTTAAATATTCCTGGTGAATTGACCCATTTATTATTATATAATGTCGTTTTTCTGTCTCTTGTGACCATTTTTGACTTAGAATCTATTTAGTATCCTAGAATTGCCACCTCTGCTGTCTTTTGGTTACCATTTGTAAGTAATAACTTTTTCTAGCTCTTCACTTTTAGCGTATGGATATCCTTAAATTTAAAGTGAGTCACTTGCAGACAGCATTTTTATTCAGCCACTTTACATCTTTTGATTAGAGAATTTAATCCACTTACATTTAAAACAATGACTGATAGGGAAAGACTTACATTATTGTCATTAATGTTTTCTTTCTATAGCTTTTTTGTTCCTCTTTTCCTCCTTTACTATCTTTTTCTGGAGAATAAAAAGTAATATAACTTCTTAGCTGTGTTTCTAGAACTAAAGTAGTTCTTCCTGTTTCATTAAAGCATCTTTGAATGGTTTTTATGTAAAGAAAAAAATTTTGTCAGTTATAAAATTTCCATTAACAATAAAATCTTAAATGCTAATAGAAACTTAGAAAAATGTAGCCCATTTTTAGCATATCTCTGCTTTCTCCTTTTTGTTCTCTCCTATTCTCTGAAATTATATATAATCATTATCTGCTGATAATTTTGTTTAAAAATTTAATACAGTCAACTAAATTTTGAGTCAAGTTAATTCAGATATATCAATGATCCCAACAGCCTTATTTTGAAGACAAGTTTTTTTTAAAGACCCCATAGTATTATATGACAATTTGTTTTGTATTTGCTATAAAAGTTTTCTTATGGGATTGATACTACTTATTCTGCTTTTTTATTGTGGTACTCAATATTTGTTTATGAATCTGGCCGTTTCATTGTACATAAATTTCTGAAGTCCTTAGAAACCAAAACAGTCAGTGGACAGAATGTTTTTGTTCATCCCTTGAAACAAATTGGAAATAACCACACACATGATACTTGCTTCAAAACAATTTAACTCATATTTAAGTCTTTCATACTCTGAATTCTTTTCTATATAATGGGAGAAAAAAATCCCTGTGGATTTCTTTAGGGGAAGTTTTGTACATTTTGCCAATTCTTTGTTTCTCAAAGTTTTCTTTCTTTTTTTTTTTTTAGACAGAGTTTCTCTCTCTTACCCAGGCTGGAGTGCAGTGGCGTGATCTTGGCTCACTGCAACCTCTGTTCCTGGGTTCAAGTGATTGTCCTACCTCAGGCTCCAAAATAACTGAGACTACAGGTGTGCGCCCCACACCCAGCTAATTTTTGTATTTTTAGTAGAGATGGGGCTTCACCACATTGGCCAGCCTGGTCTCGAACTCCTGACCTTGTGATCTACCACCTCGGCCTCCCAAAGTGCTGAGATTACGGGCGTGAGCCACTGCACCCAGCCCAAAGTTTTCTTAATAGATTTTAAAAATCTAATTGTAGAATATATTTTGGATTCATCAACATAATGGTCTTATTCAAATCGCATGAGAGGTTTTTCTCCAGATCGTCAACATTTGTAACTTACAGTATTAGAAGTTCATTTGTAACTTAGAGTATTAGAAGTTGTTAATATCTCACAATCAAGGGATCAGAGATAAAATGTTGTCTATGTTTTCAAATAGAGGAAAAGCAGTATGTCTGTAGATTAAATTCCATTAATTATCAACAGTTATGCAAATTGATGTTACGTTTCATTTGGTTTTATATCCTCTTGAGGTGTTTTTATCCCTTAGCTGGTTATTCAATAGATAAATCTAAATTTAATAAATTATTTTGAATTATTAGCTCTGTAGTAGGCTTTTCTCTTCAACTGAAGACCCAGTGTCTCATACACACTGTTGCTCTGAATATTCTCAGAAGGTTTTTTTTTCTTCTTCATACTTTCTGTGTACTGGTTGAGAGAATTTGATTTAGAAACAGTACATATTCAGAAGGCAAATAGCCAACCCATGAAGCACTCAAAATAGAAAAGACTTTTAGGTCAATGATTGCTCTGCTTTTTAACCCAATAACATGGTTATTAGGGGAATTTTAATTTTTATTCATCAAGGAATCCTGATGACTGTATAGCAATTAACTATTTTACTAATTAGTGGTACAAAATTTGTTTTATGGTCTTATTAAGAAGTTTAAAAACAGTTAAAGGTAAAATTGAGGAAATTATCTATAAAAATTGATCAGTTGCTGTTTTCCAGAGAATTTGGGGTGGTTTCTTTAACTGGTTTACATTGTGTAGAGCTCATAGTTTATCACAAGCAGATAAAACAGTTTAATTTAAATAATAATCTCTAATATTGGCTTTTGTCTTCTTCATTTATTCAGTTTTATTAACTTCTCTCTCTGCATTTGCTGTATTTTATTTTCTAACTTTATTAGAAAGAATATTTGATTCTTTTATTTTGACATTTTAAAAATAAATATATTTAAAGCTATAAATTTATTTCTAAGTATTGCCATTGCTGTATCCCACATGTTTTGAATTGTGAGTGCTTTTCTTATTCATAACTTAAGAGTTCATGAATTCTACTGTGTTTTTCTATTTAACTCATATGGTTTTTAAGAACATGAGTTTTATGGCTGTGTATGTTGGTTCACACCTGTAATTTTGGCATTTTGGAAGCCTGAGTCAAGAGGATCCCTTGAGACCAGAAGGAAGTTTGAGATTAGCCTGGGCAACAAAGCAGTATCTTGTCTCTACAAAATATATAAAAACTAGCTGGGTGTAGTGGTATGCACCTGTGGTCCCAGCTACTCAAGAGGCTAAGATGGAACGATTACCTGAGCCTAGGAGTTTGAGGCTGCACTGAGCTATGATCTTGCCGCTGCACTCCAGCCTGGGTGACAGAGACCACGTCTCTAAAATCAATCAATCAATCAATCAACCAAGATGGATTTTTGTTTTGGGCTTAACTTTTAATCTACCATGACTTTATATTATTGACTTTTAATCTACCGTGGCATAATTGTTGAAATACATGATCAATATGATAAGGATTGCTTAAAATTTGTAGAATGTCCTTTTGTAATCTAGCCAATGGCTGTAAATATTCCATTTGTGTCTACATATTTTTCTACTTCTTGGCTGAATCTTTATCTTTTTTCGATGCAGGTTGTTAATGATGATCAAATATTCAAATAGTGAGCTTATCTGCCTATATACTTAGTAAAATGATCTTAAATCTTCATTTGAAGACATTTAAGAATATTAAGAAACTTCACCTTAGGTTTAAAGAGAGAACTTATAGTTTGTTAACTTTGACAGAGGTTTTTTGTTTTTCCTTTTGAAATTGCCAAGATAGTAGTAGTAGTAGCAGCAGCAGCAACAGCAATGTTGGTGGTAATGGTAATAACAGCAGCAGCAGCTAACTGTGTGCCAGCACCATTCAGATCTCTCTAAATCTGTTAATAAATGTAACCCCATAACAGCTCTATGAGATATATTGTTTTCCTCATTTTATAGATGAGAAAAGACACAGAAAGATTAATATACTTACTTACTGTAGTCGCACTGGCTTAAACAAATAAAGGTAAGTTTTGTTTAGCTAAACACACACAAAAACAATTTTTTTCTTTCCTCTCTGTAGTTATTAGAAAAACTGAGAGAACGTTGGCTGTCTACTGGCTTATGGCATAAACTGGAGTTGGCGAAGACAGTCATTGTGGAACCACAGGGAGGAGAAAAAACAGATTTTGATGAATTACTGCAGGTGTACTATGATGCAGTCAAATACAAAGGAGAGAAAGGTGACTGGAAATTATTTCATGTTACAATTATAATTTGATACTATCTTTTGAAGTGAATTACACTTAAGAGAAAAATTATCCAGAGCGAAAAGAAAATAAATTGGGTAAAGAAATTCTTTTAATTGCACTTGTCCTCCTATGAATATTTTCACTTGGGTATGCTGATTCAACTTTAAGAAAAATTATGCCATCGGGTATTATCTCAGTCTTTAGTGCACTACCTGAAACAGTTTGTGCAAAAAGGCAGTTAGGATATATAAAAATATATTCCTTACTAGCCAAATGAGACCTTTATTAGATGCAAATCAGTACACTTTGTTCTTATAGTCTATTATATAAGGTAAACTTGAATTTTCAAAACGTAACTAAAAACTCAATTCCGAGTTAGACCATATCTCTGAAGAGTTTGATGTGAGACTGGTGTGATGGCTCATGCCTGTAATCCTAGCACTTTGGGAGGCTGAGGCAGGCAGATCACTTGAGCACAGGAGTTCAAGACTAGCCTGGGCAACATGGTGAAATCCTGTCCCTACAAAAAACACAAACATTAGCAGGGCATGGTGGTGTGTGCCTATAGTTCCAGCTACTCAGGAGGCTGAAGTGGGAGGATCACTTGAGCCCAGGAGGTCAAAGTTGCAGTGAGTTGTGATTGTGCCACTGCACTCCAGCCTGGCTGACACAGTGAGATCCTGTCTCAAAAAATAAATAAAATGAAATAAAAAGTTTGATGTGAAGGACTAACAGTAATAGTTTATGAACAATGCAAGAAAGAGGTTAATTTAACATGTCAATATCTTTTTATGATGTATGTATATATATGGTGTTCTGTGTGTGTTTTAAATACTTTTAAATATAATATTCCATATGATATGTATTATCAATTAAATTTCATTTATTAGAATTACTTTCAGGTGGTAAAAGTAATAATGCAACTTCAATTTTTATTAAATAAACCTGCTTGTAATTACACAGTCCTTATTCAGTTGCTGTTTTGATGTGTTTTTACTGTGTAATTTATCTGGAAGATGCACAATTTGTAAATTGGTTTGCTACCCTTTTGCATTTGAACTTTTAAAACTTTATCTCATAATACTGTTTTTGATTATTTTAAGTTTGCTACTATAATTACTAGATTTATAAATCAGGTATTTTCAAAATGACAAAGATAAGCAATTTCTGAGAATTTTGGATATGCATTTTTCTCTTGCTTAAGATGGAGCCCTCCTGGTAGCAGTTTGTCGTGGTAAAGTGAGTGAGGGTCTGGATTTCTCAGACGACAATGCCCGTGCCGTCATAACAATAGGAATTCCTTTTCCAAATGTGAAAGATCTACAGGTAGGCCATCGAAACCTTAAGTTTCATTATTACAGTCGTCATTGGTTTTGCAGAAAGTTAATTGCAGGGATCCCTCGTTTTACTGCCCTTTGCTTTATAGTGCTTTTTTACAAATTGAAGATTTGTGGTAACCCTGCATTGTGCAAGTCTGTTGGCACCATTTTTCCAAAAGCATGTGCTCACTTGTTTCTATATCACATTTTGGTTAATTCTTACAATATTTCAAACCTTTCCATCATTATTATATCTGTTAGGGTGATCTGTGATAAGTGATCTTTGATATTACTATTGTAACTGTTTTGGGGTGCCTCATACTACACCCACATAAGACAGCAAACTTAATTGATAAGTGTTGCATGTATTCTAACTGCTCCACTAACCAGCCTTCCCCCATTTCTCTCTCCTCGGGACGCTCCATTCCCTGAGACAAAACGATACTGAAATTAGGTCAATTAATAACCCTACAGTGGCCTCTAAGTGATCAAGTGAGCTGTCTTTTGGACAAAAAGATTTATTTTCAAAGTCTGGTCCTGGGTCGGGTACATTGGTATCACCTGGGAACTTAATAGAAATAAAGACTTTCAGGCTCATCCAGACCTGCTGAATCAGAAACTCTGGAATTGGAGCCCAGCAATTTGTGTTTTATCAGTCTGTTAACCACAGACTCATGGATCTCTCTATGGAATTCTGGGGTCTTTCGTCCATCTGACTGCCTTCTCTCCAGTGTCCTGCCTTGCAGATTTTGTGATTTGGTCACTCCATATTCTGATCTCTTCCACCTCAGCTCAACAGGACCACTGCACTCTGCTTGTATTTTAATGCTCTGTGCTGTGGTCAGGAAATTATACCCAAGCAGAGAGCTGACAATAATGGAGTTCACCTAATGAATTCCACTTAGTTCCACAATTACAGTCTTGTATTGTCTGGTGTCTACTACCTGAAAACAGTTGTTCTGTTTTGCCTGATTATGCGATTGCTTACAATGGAAGAAATATTCTAAAACCAGTTACTCAATCTTGGCCAGAAACAGTTGTATCTCATTATCACTGATTGTTTCCTAAACGATATATTTGGAAAACTAGAGTAATAATTTGAGCCTAGGTTGAAGTTATTGTTCATCAAGGAGGATTTTCTTTTACTTCCTACAGGGAATCTGAGAAAACTTGAGATTTTCTGGCCACTGAGCTGATTCATTGATTATGATCCATATCCCTCCTCCCAGGGTACAATTAGGGTCTCATACCAAAGCAGGAGTTCTTTCATTAGAATAGTTATCTTTTTAATTGTTCATACTTGACTAGGCACTGTGAATTAGATAATTTTACTTTTATTTTTCTAGTCCATAGCAGTCTTTAGGTAACATTAATAAGCAGTATTTCTTTTGTTAGCCCTCAATCTTCCCGTAACCTCTGGACCTCTTCAAAATTTCTGCAAGTCCTCGGGGTATCTCACTTGATGATTCGTAGTCTAATGTTTCAGCCTCCAGTAACTTTGGTGGTTTCCACTACCTTTCTCCAGTTAACCAGTGCTATTGCTGAGAGCACTAATGGCTGTGCTCAAGGCTGGGTCTCCTATTCTAAAATGGCTGATGCTGCCTTGACCGCTGCTACTGATGAAACAGTTGACATTTACCCAAGAAAACTCTTGTTGCCATCAACAGCTTCAGTGCTGCATTCCACCGAAGTGGAGTGCTACTGGTGGCACAGCTATTGGCACTGGTATTGTCTCCTTTCAATGTCTTATCATTTTACTCTAGCCCTACATTATTGCACTAAGGCTGCTTGTTAAAGTGGAAAGAATCCGTTTCCGTTCTTTAGCCACACATTTTCTTCCAATGTCTTAATAAAATACAAATTTTTCCTCATAAAACTAATTCTTTCCATTTTTGCCTATGGCCTCTCTCTTCCTTGGACCCTACGTATGAGTTCTTGAGAGCTGGCAAGGAAGAAAAACTTTATGGCCATACTAGGTTGTACTAGCTATTATAGGTACAAAGTAACAAGGCCTAAAAGGATCATTAAGATTATAATTCTGATTACATATAAGAAGAGAATGATATTCAGAGTAGTTATCAAAAGAATTTTAACTTTTTCCATAATTTTTAGTAAAAGAAAAGGCTTAAGAAAATGTGATGAGAATACAGGTAATTATTGTGTTATTCTTCATTATCTAAAAAAATTCTTAAAATTAAAAAAATACATTTGTGAGGAAAGAAAATTACATTTCTCTTTTCTCCACCTTGGCCTCAACAGCTATGATTGTGAACATTGTTAGTGTACCAACCTGGGGGTCATAATGCTTTTTTCCTCAGGATAAATTCTTCCTAGTCAATATCTCAGTCTGTCATGCAAAAAAGATACCTGGTGACCTACTCTGACATTCCTCAGTCATGATCCTACTTGTCATAGTTCTGCTTATCTGAATCTCAGTGGGTCAAGTGCATAAAACAGCAAAATAACAGAAGCATCAATGGGTTCTGGGTAGAGGGGAGGAAGGTGGTTCTAAAGGGTTATCCCTAGTGGTTCCCAAAAGGTGGACACAAGAATAGTTCAAGCTGCAGGGACAAGGGATAGAAAAATGAAATTATTTACCAGCAGTACTAGATATACTGGGAAGTGTATTTCTTACTGCTCTATGTCTGGATCAGTTCTTCCTCTGTAACGACTCCAAAACTCAGTGACTTAAATCAGCAATCATTTATAACAGATGCTGCATCTATGGAGAGATTGGGTGGCAGATGATCTAGGCTTGGGCTTGGTTGGTCGGCTCTCTTGATTTCAGCTGGGCTCAGCTTCTCTGCCCTAGTTGGCTGATCTTTGTTGAAGTCAACTGAGTCAGCTCTGTTCCACCTGGATTTCATTCTTCGTGGACCAACAGACTAGCCAAGACATGTTATCATTGCAATGGCAGTAGTACAAAAGGGCAGGCTTAACTATGTAAGCAGTTAAGTCAAATACCTATTTATATCACATCTGCTAACCTCCTCTTGCCCAAAACATGTCATATGCACAATCTCAAAGTCAAGGCAGGGGAGAAAAGGGATAATTTCTACCACACATGGCAAAGGACTTAAATCATGACTTCCAAAAGGAGTTCTCAGCTGTGACATTTTTTCATAACTAAAGGGAATTTGTTAGTTATCCATTTATAAGCTTTAAGAGTATAAGCATGCAGTTTTTACAATGATTAAGAAGGCCTTTTATCATTTGGAAATGCCCAGTATATAACAGTCAATACCTAAAATATTTGAAATACGTCAGGCATCATTATGGGTGATTTCTTAAAATTTTTATAAATGGTTAAGTATTTGAAAATACTTATATGCCTCTATGGAATATAAAAGTTTAAGTTTCAAATTCTAATGAATTTAGGTTTGGCTTTTTGCCTGTCTTTTGGTGTTATATTTAGGAAAACACTGGCAAATCCAACATCATGCATGTTTGCCACTAATGTTTTCTTTGAAGAGTTTTATACTTGTAACTCTGTAATTTAGATATTTGATTCCTTTTGAGTAAATTTTTCTATGTGATACATGGTGAGGTCCAACTTCCTTATAACTAAAGTGAATCTTCTATTGACAGCATATAGTTAGATCAGATTTTTAAATATCCATTTGGCCAATCTCTGCCTTTCAATTGGAGAGTTTAAACCATTTACATTTAAAGTAATTACTGATAGGGAAGGACTTCTGCTATGTAGCTATTTGTTTTTGTGTGTGTGTTGTGTGCTTTTTGTTCTTCAGTCCTTCATCATGACCTTTTTTGCATTTAGTTGGTTTGTGGTATACTATTTTGATTCCCTTCTTTCCTTTTATGTCTTTTTATAGTCTTTACCTTGGGGATTATAACTATCATCTGAATCTCTGTTCCTCCCTTTTTATGTTGTTATTGCACAGATTGCATCTTTATACATTGTGTACCATTAACATAGTTTTTAATTGTTGTTTTATGCCTTTGCCTTTTAAATAATACAGTGACAACAAAGGAGTTGTAATTCAAAAGCATATTGTAGTATTCACCTGCATAGTTACCTTTACCAGTATCCTTTATTATTTCTTAAAGCATAGGTTTATAAATATGTTTTATAATCTATTACATGGTGTACCTTGAGGATAGGGGTAATTTCTTAAGCATCTTTATGTCTCTACAACCAAGATATTGCCGAAGAACATAGTGTTGAATAAATATTTTAGTTAATTATTGAAAGGGGTTTTCGTAGAAGTTATTAAAATTGCGTTTGACCTTGTTACTTGTTTTTAAAAACAACAGCAACTGTGGGTAATCCCCCCATATAGGCACCGAGGAATGAGAGCTAAGCAGAACTCTGGCACAGTTAGGGCCTGAGGAATATCTCAATTTATAGTGTTACTACTCAGCTATTTCCTTTTATATAATCCTTTACATAATCATATATTAGTTTATAGAAATAGGGCTTGATGAATCCCTTTATATAATCCTCTACATATAATCATATAATAGTTGATAGTATGAGTGCCTAAAGAATATTTCCCTACATATATACCTATAATTATATCTTAGTTCATAATCGGAGGAATGCCTAGAGTGGACACAGTACAGAGCATGAGTTAAGGAATAAGCAGCTTATAATCGGAGGAATGCCTAGAGCAGACACAGTGCAGAGCATGATTTAAAGGAAAAACAGTTATACCAAGACAAGAATCCATGGCCCAGGCAGCAGCGTTCAGTATCATAAAGATACCTGCTGTATGGCAGGCTTGGGACAAGAGCCACTCCTCCTGATAAAGGAGTTGTAGGACCTTGCTCCAGTTCTTATAGAAGGCTGCCCTCAGACTGGCAATCCACCTTGGTGACTGTGAACTTTATCAGCTCTTGCTACTGTGCTGCTTGAAAAGCATCTTCCCATTAGAACCCATTGGAAGCTGCCAGAATGTGGCAGTAACCTTGACAGCTCTGTCACTGCTATGTGACTTAAAGCATCCTCCTATAAATCTTCTTAGAAGTAGTTTACCCATAGATAGA